GCTAACAATTGCTAACAATGCTAACAATTGCTAACAATTGCTAACAATGCTAACAATGCTAACAATTGTTGCTAACAATTGCTAACCATTGTTGTTAAGTTTTATCTGCTTAATTATAATGTACAAGTCATGAAGATCAAGTTTATACTGCCAGAATTTGGAATCGACTCTCCAGAGTAATCGACTCTCCAGAGTAATCGACTCTCCAGAGTAATCGACTCTCCAGAGTAATCGACTCTCCAGAGTAATCGACTCTCCAGAGTAATCGACTCTCCAGAGTAATCGACTCTCCAGAGTAATCGACTCTCCAGAGTAATCGACTCTCCAGAGTAATCGACTCTCCAGAGTAATCGACTCTCCAATAGTCTCGAAACCTTTAAATTATCTGTAGATGATCTTGATCTTGAAGCTCTAGTAGATTCTTGACGTTAATCTGTGCTACCCATATATTACATATATCGTGTTGCTTTTTATCAACCCTTTTCGCGTTATGTGTATGAATTGATGTGTATTAAATCTTAAATCTAGCGCACTTTATTTCAGGTCGTGAATAAAGTATCTATATATGTACAGTAAATGATCGAATAAATGATTTTCCGAAGGTCTGTTTGAAAATTTATACTTTTGGTGGGATACGTTATTGAAATCATGAATACAATCTGTTAACTAGCTACACGAATACATATTATATATGTGGTCTCGAAAGTAACAGGCAGTCCTGTGTATATCTTCAATGAGGTTCAAAATTTAAAAAGTAATCAAAAGCAGTAATAAGTACTAGCTAGTTATATATTTTATTAAGATTTTTTTTCCCACTTAGCCCAATTCGTATGGGTAAGCGCCGACCCGTCAGCATACATCCAATTGTTATCCGGCTGTTTCTGCACCCTAATGTAGGGACCAAGGCCTTTTATTACTTAACAAAAACAATAATTTATTAGTTGATATGCTTCCCAACCTATGATACTTTGTTTGAAGAAGAAATCGTTTTCGAAAGTGTTCACAAAGCATAAATGCAGCTTTTCTCATCATCCATTTGTTGACTTCCATCTGGGCATCGAAAGCCGCAAGTTGAAACAAAGATAAGATAGGCTGCAAGTGTAACCGTGAAAAACAGTATTGATTCACTATAAAGCGGCAAGACTTTTTTTCCAAAATAACCTTTTAAACACTTCAGTGATTTCAATTACCCTAAAGTCGCGAGTATAAGTTCTGTTTGGTTTTCGCATGCAAATTGACGGCTGTCTCCGGTGCGGTGTGTCGAGGGTTCGAACCCCGCTGCAGCATAACTTTTTTGCTTTTTAAGAACAATAATAGAAGTAAATTTATTGAGGGTTATAGCAATTTTATGCTGTTATTTGTTGCTCCGGGCGTGGCTCGGCGCGTCCGCCCTGCTCCTCTCCAGTGCTCAGTCTTATGGATCCCTCCCTGGCCTCTTCATCCGGCCAAAGTCCACGTCGACGGTCGAAAGAGATGCTTCTTCTTCAACACTATCGTCTGGATGTATCCATGCACATAACAAATAGCAATGGTGATAGGCTGTCACCCTGTAGTATCCCGCGCTCCAAGAACAATAATAAAAGTTTATATAACAATAAAAATGTATAAAAACCCCAACAAAAAGAAATTCAAAGCAATTAAAGCGAATGTAAATTAAGGCAGAACTTATACTCGAGACTTTAGGGTAATAGAACTTGTAGAATATCAAAGTAGTCAACGATAAAACCCAAAAGTAATGCTCGATAGCTCATTCCTCAAGTGTTCTGCCCCCAAATGAGCTCAATGTTTCTTTACAAAAGCTGCTTCATTTTACAAATTCAACTTTGTATTTGGTGAGAAGGCTCACTAGTTGCAACTTGTTCAAGTCACGAGCAGAAAAGATTAGTTGTTGGTTGTTGTCCAAATTGATTTGAGTTGAGAGAGATGACGATTACGCATAGAAAGTGGATCCCGTTAAGATCCAGTGTTCAGCGCTGAAATCGAGTCAATCAATAGAAGGTTGACTTAGAAAACTGTTTATGCTTACAATTATGTGTTTATGGTATTCAGTCAAAGTTTTAAATAAAGTCTTTGTAGATTCAATTCAACTTTTCTTACCCGTTAGTAAAGTTATTAATAGAACTTGTAGAATATCAAAGTAATCAACAATAAAATCCAAAAGCAATGCTCGATAGCTCATTCCTCAAGTGTTCTGCCCCCAAATGAGCTCAATGTTTCTTTACAAAAGCTGCTTCACTTTACAAATTCAACTTTGTATTTGGTGAGAAGATGTATTAGTAATGAAAGATTTTAAAGTAATACACTGTGAAAGACATTTCCCATTTGAACATCAGAAAACATCAATATTGGATACACAGGCGCCTCTTGATTTCAAAGTCGATTTATTTTTTTTAAAAATGATCTCATTCTACAAACTTTTCATCTTCAAAACAGTTTCTAATCGGATTGAACCAGAAAAATTTCTAGAGACAATTCAGTTTATGATAAGGTGTGAAGTGGAAAAATATTGAAACTAAGCGTTTCAAAAAACTTCAGCCTGTCACTTTTAACATTTAACAACAAATTTAGAAATACTATAGCTTTTCAGTTACTTCATTTTATACTATGTCGGATTCTTTACACCCTACCGACTGGGAATCAACGATCAACAAATATCAACAAATTGAAACGGTCACCATTGAAAAGCTACAATCAACAATACCAGCGTTGGAAAGATTACAAGTTTCTGTAAGTTTTCAAAAAGCTATTGCGCGTTTCTTTTTTGTATTCTACTTTTGACTTTTCTCGTAATAACTATAATATTTTCTTGTTACGGATAGATTTTAAATCCAGTAACCTTGAATTTCATATAGTATTAGGTTGATGCATAAGTGTTTTTGTTCCTTTTCGTCTGCCGTTTCAAGCCAACAAATGCACCAATTAAACTACGGTTGATTTCATTAGAAAAAGCAATTATTTTTCTGCAAAATAACATTAAAACGGGTTTAAAAATATTTAATGCCTGGATTTTCTTGAGAGTATGAAGTCGGGTAGTCAAAAAGGGCTAACTCGATGATGCGGTTTAGACACCTTAGCTAAAGAAAACCTATCTTCGTGTCAATAGATAAAAGATAGAGAAAAAAAACGTTTGATATTTCGCCAAAATTTCAGAGAAATTCATTCAGCCAATTTTTCCGTAGAGTTTTTTATAGATTTTTACGAAAAAGGCGTTTTTCACTCTCGAATTTGCTTCAAAGTGAACCGAAATTCATTTAAAAAGATGCAAATTGAACAAAAAAACACTTTTTTTATAGAGCAAACTATAGATTAATTCGTGAATTTGTTACTTTTTAACAGAAGTACGAAAAAAACGAAAAGACTTATGCATCAACCTATTAGATAGCTAGACTAAAGCTTTCCGTGCCTTGAAAGCTTTAGATCTAGCGATCTACTATATGAAAATTTTTCTAAAGCTTAGAGAACGTGGGAAAAAATTCACAATTGCAAACACAGCGGCGAATGCAACAACTTTGGGGCTATCGGTTGCAACCGCCATTTTGACAATAAGCATTCCATTTACACTCGGCGCCACAGCTCCATGTGAGTTTTGCAAACACGTGTTTGGGAAAACAAAAGAAATCTACAAAAAAACAAAATTTAGTTGCCTTAGCCACCGGTGTTGTGGCTGTTGGCACAGGTGTAACCTCTGTCGGAATCAATATAGCTGGGAACATTGATGATGCTGTATGTTTTTCACCCAAAATCCTAGACGAATTCAAGTGCAAGAGGGAAATTAACAATAATATATGATTATTATAAAGTAGTATAGTTTAAATGTTTAAATAGTCGTTTTTACCACACGGTAATTTTTAGCGCGCTTTGACAGACGAAATTCAAGAAGTGTTAACGATTCCGATCACCGGATTGAGTCTGTACAATGAGCGTGTTGCGGAGCAGAGGAGAGATGAGATTGTCCGATTACGAGAGATGTCAAATTCGATGTAAAAAAAAAGGAGAGATGTATTTTTCGAAAAGCGATTTCAGAGAATATGCCAGTTTTTTCGGCGCTTTCTTTCACCAGTCTTGGGCGTTTTGCGGCACTAGGCGGATTTGCGGCACGTGGTTTACTTGAAATAGCAACAAGAGCGGTGAGTTTTTATTTGTATTTTACTTGCACTTAGTCTGCTTTTTTTATTTATTTTCCTAAAAATCCCAAGCTTTTTTAAAATTCCTCTCAAAATTTGAGAGGAATGAAAAACTCAAAACCATTAGCTTGTTTTACTTTAGCTCATCGTTTGACGTTGAGAATTTGATTAAAGAGGTTACACTATAGAATTTATAAGGGTTGAATGGGAATGTAAGAGCTGTTTTCATGGTTTACAAATTGGCCCGAGTTTCGCTAATTATTAGGTTGTCCAATAAGTAATGCGTGTTTTGACACGATTTTCAAAATATCACAAAATTAACAAAAGAGAACTTTATTAATCGATATATTCTCCACAACAATCAACAACATTTCTCCATCGTCCGAGCAAAGAGTGAAGTCCGTCATAATAGAATGAAGCTGGTTTCGATGAGAAGAAATCGTCGAGCCATTTTTGCCTTCCAGCGCGTTCCTCGTCCTCTAACGACTCGTTTCCGTCCGCAAATCGTTTAAACCAGCGCTGGCACTGGCTGATTGAAATTGAATCCTCTCCAAATGCGGCACAGATAGTTCGATGGCAATCCGCTGCAGTTTTACCTCGTTTGAAATCATACAGCATTGATGCGCGGACAACAAACTTTTTGTCTTTCATCTGCAAAACAACATATCTATTATAAAACAAAGGCAAATGAATAAAATAATATATAAAAATAAACACAAGATGCTGATGATTAAAAAGAGCATATATTTGCTCGAAGCGATTTCGCAATAGTTTCGAAATAAGTAACACGCATTACTTATTGGACAACCTAATATACACTATTATACACTACATGTACACTAGCTTCTTTAGCTGCCACGTCTCGGGCTAGCCGCTGCTGGTGTCGTCTTATCAGGTGGCTTTAGATTAACCATAAGATTTTTTATCATATAACGTTTATACATGTTTGTTTACCTAAAAAAAAAAAACATTTTTTTTATAGCCGCCACCGATGCTGTCTTTTTGGGTATCAACATACGCGATTTGATCACAGGAGACACGAGCTTTCGAGCAAATCAATTAGAGAAGGTGATTTTATAAGTAACTTTTTAGAGAATACTAACTTTATCTATTCTTTTGTAGCCAGAAAATAATAGTCTTGCTATATTTTTTTTTATTTCAGCTCATCGCTGACGTTAAGGATCTGATTGATTGGATTCGGGAGGATGTTCAAAGGCGACGAGAGATCTACTTTCTCGAAGAGTTCACGATAGGATCTCTTGAATCTTTGTTGGGAATCGATAACGAAATTTTCGATTTTTAAAGTCTATTTGAGAGTCCTGCCTGCCCTTGAGACTTGATAAATGCTTAAAAATTTGGCCTTTATTTTTTCATTTTTGGTGTTTCCAAGCATTGTTTGTTTAAAAATTAATGTTATTATTTTCTTAAAATGATTTTAGAGTAGCTTCTTTGATGGAAATGAGTAAAATGCTTAAGGTAAATTTCTCTATTCTGATTCTTTATACTGATTTTCTTTAGTTGGTGAGAACAGAGACGGGGAAACCTGTTTGCATGGACCTCTACTTCAATGAAATCCTTAAAAAGATCGAAGACATGCCGGTTTATTTTCGTTATGAATTCATTGTTAATAAAAAGATCCGATTTTTTAAAATCAAAAACACTTTTAGAGCCTCGTCGTCGGGATTTGCGGCGTTCAACGGACAGGCAAAAGCTTTTTGCTTGAACTACTCCGAAAAGCCATTCTCGACACAGGCATCTTGGATGATCCAAAAACAAAAATTGGGTAAAGTTCATTTTTTGGTACTTTTCTAATATCGGGGGAGCGGAAGGAAAATCAGCAGATTTTGCAAATTTTGCCCCCTCGGAAACTGCATTTCCGGGACTGTATTTTAACTACAACGTTTTTTTTTTAAAAACTTTAACCACGATGCGCTTCTCCGACATTTGTGCGTTTAAGAAATCGACGGTAATCGATTATTTCGTTACCAAAGGAGTCATCCGGTCGTGGCTTTGCAACCGTGGCGAATTGATGAAAGGCCGCTCAAAGGGAAAAGATCTATTTTGCTGGGTATGTGACCTTGTGATGCATGGCGAAAGGCCCCCAAGCATTCAAGAAGAATTCGAGTCGAGAACTTTTTGCAACAAAGCAAGCTCCCGTTCGTCACAATTTCAAAGTTCATTCATCGCCAGGGACTCACGACAATCAAATACTGTCAGCAGGAGCTCGGCATTAGTGGCGACACCGTTGTTGAGTGGAACTACTATCTCCGCCAAGTGTGCGCTTGGAAAATCAAGAAGCTTTCGATTAACAAGATCGGTGGTGCCTGCCGGAGTGGATGCATTCGAGTCGATCATGGAGAACATCGTCGATTTTTGGCCCGCGGGGGCGGAAATGAATACAATCCCGTTTTACAGTTAATTTGTGATTGCTAGAAAAGTTTTGTTTCGGTTACTTCGTTTACATTTCTTTCGTTGTTACGGTCAATTATACTATTAATGAATAATTTTTTAAGTAGCCATTTTTTCGTTCGGGATTGTGAAGCGTTCGGCAAAAAGAGAAGGCGACGGATAGGGAAGGTAGAAGGAGGTTTGGTGTTAGATATTTAAGTCACTTTTGTGATCTAATATAAAGGTTGTGAGAATAACGGGTAATTCGCGGATTTTATGGTGGTAATTTGTATAATATAGGACATATGTAGCGCTGGCAAAATTTGCTTCCCTGATTTTCATTTCGCTCCCCCGATAATCCTTCCGCTCCCCCGATATTGAAAAAATACCCATTTTTTCAATCAATTGTTAAAAATTTAAGGGAACCACAAGGCATTCGATATTTGTTTGGCAAAAAACCGTGCACTCAAGACATCGAAATTTGGAGTGAGCCCTTTATTTTCCAAGCAACAAATGGTCAAAAGGTGAAGAATTGGAATCTCAAGCAAACACTGGCTAACAGTTTGAATCTATACTTTCAAAACTTGCTTTGGCACTTGTGGAGTATCCGGGGGGTAAAATTTTAAGATCCGGGGTAAACTTTCAAAAACCAACCAAATGCCCAAAAATGAATATCGCATTCTGAGAAAAAAAACTTTTGATAGTATCCTAGTTAGGGGACCACTTTTTTCTTCAATGTGGGTTAGGCAAACATGTGGGTTAGGCATCTGCCGGACCCACATCAACACATAAAACTACCTCAAAAAATGGTTTTGAAGAAAAAAAAATGTCCCGCCAACTAGGATATTATCAACATTTCTAATAATGACATAAAAAAATTTTGTAGAAGTTACGTTTTTGATCGAGTATCACCTCGAATCACGTAATCAAGTAATCACCTCAATAAATTGAATATCTTTACATTTGAAGCGAATTTGCCACCAAATCACTTAAGCGGATGAATATCTTTAAAAGGGGTCGTGTATAACGTATATAAAATTTTACCCCCGATCTTAAAATTTTACCCCGCCGGATATTGAAAGACCCCCGGATACTCCACAAGTACCCTTGCTTTTTTTATTGGGTATTCATAGAAGTCATAGGAAAGCTTTGTAGCTTGGAAAAGTCTTTAGTGGGCCATTTTGTTATTGGATGCGCAAGGACTTTTTGACGATCGAACACCTCCAGAAGTGAACACGTTTATCACTGGTTTCTTGGCAATGTTTTGTGATATTCTGGTGAGATTTTGATGATAAAAAGCACTATATATATTCTTATTTATATAGGTGTACAACGTGAAGGAATTCAATATGAATGATTTGAAGAATTTAACAGAACCAGTTGCAATGTGTGACGAAAAGGATAAACCTTTGACCGAAAAATCGGTAAGAGTTTTACAGTGGCTTTACATTGATTTCCTTTATGCTCTTCTCTTTCTAAGATATCGTAAATACTGTAATAGTACCGCACTCCTATAATGACAGTGCGGAGTGTTGCGTAGTCTAGCTTAGGGTACTATTACAGTATTTCCGGTAGCTTTACGGTAGCTTAGCTCTTTTAGATTATCTATATTCTCGATCGAGACGCTGTGGAAGCCTTTGGACATCAGTCTGACTACTTTACCCAGGTTTTTTTGATTTTTGTTTATAACAATGTAATACCATTTTTAGGATACTATCCTCGCCAATTACAAACACGAATCAGAGGTGCTCAGAAGTACATTTTCTGCCATTCGAGTAGGGGAAAAGTTTTTGCACAAAACGAGCACTTTACTAGCTAATTTCGTTCCCTGAGCCGCCACCTTTTGTAAAGAAAGCCTCCTATTTCATGCCGATCACTCTCGGAAATGGCTCGTCTACAAGTGATCCCCGTCTAAACGTAACTTTTCTCCTTATTTATCTTTAGTCGACGAAACGATGTCCCTGTATTTGGGCGTTTTCAAAGAGTTTCTGCATTTGTTGAAAGGCGATATCAAAGAGATGCAGCGACATCGTCCAAAAGGTCGTTTCCTTCATTTCAAGGTTATTTTTTTTCTTTCTTTAATAAAGCTTTTGCACAGTACACTGAAAAAGGCAGATCTAAAAAGAGTTAACAAACTAAAGCTTAGACTTTCGCCAAAAATGCCAGCCAACTGAAGACAAATGATGTTCGAAAGAGTTATGAGGTAAATCGATATATAAATATGTCGCAAGCTAATTGTAATTTCAGTCACTGACTGTAAATCGATTAGCCGATTGGTGATGAAATTTTTTCGCTAGTTAATTTGCAATTATTGTAAATAAATCGACTGAAATTGGAAATCGGCTACGACTTCTATTTATTTCGGAAACAGTGCCTATATGTCGTAGCCGATTATGAATGAGTGGGTCTAGGAGCGTCCAACCATCAAGTATTTAGTATCATTCAACGCAGAATCATTGATAATTATGTTAAATTTTTTAAATTAGAAAGATTGGATAAAAAGAACACAAATTATGGGGCTTCAAAGTTTTCTCTTGAACAAACAGTTTTTTTGCTCTAATTTTTTTCCTTTTTATCAAATCTTTCTAATTTAAAAAATTTAACATAATTATCAATGATTCTGCGTTGAATGATACTAAATACTTGATGGTTGGACGCTCCTAGACCCACTCATTCATAATCGGCTACGGGGGTCCCGCCGATTTTGAATGAAACGTTGTAGCGCCGGCAATTTTTAACCTAAACTCACAAATTTGGTACCAATCGACGCAGAATTGAATTCGCTACAAGATGATATAATATTGTCCTCATACATTAAAGGGTTGCTCTACTAGAAAGATTTGCTAAAAAATTTCATTCATAATCGGCTACGACATATATATTATCTAGATACAAAATAGGAAAAATGCGAAAGTTCGAACGATAAACTAGAAAAATGTGTGCAATTTTAATTAACTAATGTTTGAAAATCTCTAAAAACACGAACTATTTTCGTTTTTAGATGTTCTGGCAGCTGATTGCCATGCAAGCAACCACCGAGGCCTACACCAAATTTATCGCTCACGTCATTGAAGTTTGCGTTTTCTGAATTCCTTTACTTTTAAGCTTTATTTGGTTTTGTAAACTTAACTTAACGGTAAACAAAACAAACCAATTATGTACTTTAGATTCAAGACGGGAATCTTCAAAAGAATTTCCAAACCCTCAAACAACTGCAAGAAGAGGCAGACCAGGTGCTTTTTGAAAGTTTACTCAAATTTTTCGTTTAGAAAAGTTGAAAAAGTAAAACTTAAGTGATGAATTACGAAAAATTCTAGCTAATTCGAGAAAGACTGCAAGAAAAACCAGATGAGTTTGTGGCTGAAGAAATCCTCAAGTTTCATAAGCTCTGTCAGGTGAGTTCTTACCCAGGGCTTATAAGTTAATAGGGAATCCTGCAAACAAACAAAAAATTGTCTAATATAATCAATCAAATAAAACTAAATTCACTAAAAAGTCGGTAAATAGCTGAAATTTAGCCCCAACTCGAGAAGAAAGTTGAGCAACTGCGCCTTCTCGCCTACGAGGCGATGCTTGTCGAGCTTTGCGCAGCGCACAAGCAGCAAATGGTAAGTGATATTTTGTAAATTATAAAAATATTTGTAAACAAAAATCAATAATTTTTTAGAAAAGCCTTCGCGGAGCTGTTTCTGAGGTGCAAAACGTGCACAACGCTTTCAAAGCCGAGCTGAAAACAAAGCAACGCGAACTTAAAGAGGCTGCCTTTGAAAGTAAGCATTCAACTTTTCCAAAACATTTACCTCAATTTTAATCTCCAGATCACGATTTGAGCCAACCAGCAATGACGAAACTACTCTTCATCACACGAGTACAGGAGACAAAAATTGAAGTTGATTACATTCATTTAGTGGAAACAAATTTTATAGGAAGCCTTTGAGGAGTGTTTGGGGTCATCTCGTTTAATCAAAATTCGAGATGCGTTCACAGATTTTGCAAAGCAACTTGCTCGTCGAGGAACCGAAAACATTTTAAAAGTAAGAAGTCTCCTTTTGAAAACTATTCGCCCTTAAAGTTAGTTATCTACCATATCTCTACTGTAATTAGTTTTTTTATTTGAGACTTCCTTTGTGCATTAAAATAAATACATTATATTGATAAAAGTTTAGCTTATAAATTTTCAGATCGCCAAAGAGCTCGATCTTTGGGGAAAAGAGAAACCCGAGGTGAGACTTTCAGAAACATGGATTCAATAAATGTGACTAATTATAGTTAATTCATCGTTCTTTTAATGGAGAGCTCAATAGGATCAAGCAGGAATTCAAAGTGAAAAAAGACGAGATTCTCAAAGCAAACCCCTCTGTGCACAAAGAGCTCACCATCAACATCATCGTCGAGGTTTACGCGAATGAGGTCTTCCTACCGATTCAGGTTTACTTTTTTTGATTTCTGACTCTAATACATAGTCGGTTTTAATATACGAGCTAGATTACAACAAAATAAGGTCTAGTTTACTTACTTTTAATTAGGCAAAGCTCGACATCAATGGTTTTACACATTTTTGACAATTATTAATATTACAGACTACATTTATATCAGCTATTTTATTGATAATTTGTTTAGCAAGCAATGGCTGAAGCGACAAATCTCGTAAATCAGAGGTGGAAAGAACATCTTACCAGAAAAGCTAAGAAATCTCGCTTTGCCGATTATCTGGTAGGTTTGAAATGGGGAAAACTTTTGGAAAAAGAACTTAATTGAAGAAATAACGTTTTAGACGCTACTCCTTCAAGATAGTGCTGAGCCAGCTTAAACTACACGGCTTAAACTGCAAACTGCACAGCTTAAACTACACCTCCTTTTTGTTTTGTAGAATGAAATTGAATTTCATTAAATATAAAAATATTTCATCCAAAAATAACAAGTCAAAACGTTTTCATTGGAATTTTTTTGTAACTCATTTGAAAAGATGATTTTTGTTTTTCTGTCTAACAATTTCGTCGTTTTGCTCCCATTTGCAAAATGTCATAGATAGTACTCTTTTATACAGTAACCCTTATTTGGCTCTTCGCTTTTGTCGGAACATTTATTCCGAGCAAAGTCGATGCGCACAAGCGCCAAGCATCAACAAGTTTGTTTGATCGTAGATCGAATCGATCTCTCTGACAAGAAACTCCAACTGATTAGAAATACAGCGCGCGTGTCCGGAGATCGACGGATTGAACACACCGAAATAGCGGGGATTCCATTCGTTTTCCGTGGCCAACCATGTCACCACTACCAACGCCGTTGTGCTCTTTAAAAAACGAAAAGGAAAAGCAGAAATGTGCGTACAACGGCGTTGGTAGTGGTGACATGGTGGCTGAAAATTTCACGAATAGAGTCATATAATGAAAAAATTTCTCAAAAAAATCAAAAAATTGAGGCAGAAAAAATAGTGTTGACAGGAATGCCACCTCTAGCCACTTAAACTTTTTCAAAAAATCCGTTTGTAAAGGCCTTTTTTTGGGACACCCTGTAGGTATCTTGCACCCAAATTCATTTTCTAATTGAATAACTCTCAAGCTACCAAATGAAATACGGTTTTTTTTCATTAGCCCAATCATTTCAGAATAATCCATCTCATTCATTTAGATGATGAAATGAGGGGTGAAAGACTTAGTACTTATTCTAATATTATTACAATATTTAGCATCGGTAGTTTAATTTAAGTTTAAGTTAAGTGTAATTTAACGACATTTAAGAAAAGTGTAGTAGAGATTTTGATATCGCTGTTACGCAATCATGCACCACCCACAACTAACCACAATGTCCCCTCCATCACAAATTTGATGTCCTCTATTTGTCATTTCTTCGAAATGTGACCATGGAACGGATATCGCTTCCCCTAGTGCGTGCTCAACCAGCGTCATTTTCAGCTGCCAAGTTGTTATACATTAACAAGTCCAAAAAATTTATTAAACAAACGTAAAATGTTGTCTTCCTCAAGATGAAAGTGATTCCATTCCTTTGAGCTTCCACGCAAATGTTGCCCTGAATAATCGGATTTTTGAAAAGTATCTGGCAATGAAAGTATTTGAAAAGTATCAAAAAATTCAAAAAATGAAAAGTGACTTAAATTCATTCTATTTTTCTTTTTCCCCTTTGTTTTAATTAAAGGTAAATTCTTTTAAATGTTTATTTATTAATTATTGTTTATTATATAGATACAAGATACAAGGAAACGATAGATACAAGCCAAATTATAATACGACTCAAAACAAAAGAGACTCTCATTGAGATTTATTCATGAAACGATACGTCAAAAGCTCGCAAAATGCTCCCATTGATAGTAAAACTATTTGTCATACAATAAATTTTAATTTTGAATAATTGCGGTTAAAATTAGAAATCCAGGCCAAAATCCAGAACATCAGAGCACTCGGTAAACGGAAAGAGATCAAGATTTCCTGCTGAACTCGACCATGCTACAATGTGAACAATTACAAGATCAAAATTTAAACTTTGAAAACCTTCAAATCCACCGTATTCAAGAGTTTCACCAGGTTGAATCGGATAAAATTTCATCGTGTGGTCAGAGGTCTAAACGATTTCATTGAGTTTTTAACTAGGCTTATCGGCTATTCACAGAGCCTTTTATAGAGCGATATCTTATCGAGTGAAGAAATCAAAGTTTCAATCTCAATCAATTGTTCACCTTTGAAATCCCAAACGCAGAAAACTCGGTTGTTGGCGGTGCCAACCAGTCTAAACAAACAAAAAAATTCATGAAACACTCAAAACTCGAACAAATACCTACAACATCAGTGAACTCAGAATCATTTTCCCCCCACACAAAACCGGATAAACATTTGTAGTTTGCGTGTTGTTAGTGTTCTAAAATATAAATGTTGCATTGATTATTGTAAAAAGTCCACTTACCTGTTGATTCAAAACATTTGTGTTTGTCCATTCATGTGTATCAACAGAAGAACCAACGTGGTACTTGGCCTATAAACATTCCTGAATAGCTGTTGCCAAAAATATTTCTAAAGACTTTTTATCTCTAACCAACCTCCTGATTCAGATTCAGATTTGTGTTCGTAGACCCGTCAAATGATGAACCGACATCGTGGTGAGGCTACGGTGTTGTATGTGGTTTTAAAAAGAACTTTTTGGCTAGCTTCTTTTTCACTTCTTTTGGGCTTATGGTTATAATGTAACCTCTCATGCGGTGAGTGGTTGGTCGAGCGGGCAATGTGCTGGCATCATCCGTTAAATTTGATGTCACCAATTTTGTCATCATTCCAACACCACTCACAATGCTGGCCCCAATCTGTAAAATCTTTGCTACAAACTTTGATTTTGCTCCTTTCTGCTTGAAATCCTTTTTATTGTTAGTGTTAGATGTTAAAGGGTGTTTTTAAAGATAAGATTGTATTTCTCGGAATTGACATTCGGTTTTTCCAAGAAAAACAATAAATGGCAAAGAATTTGGAGAAAAGGGGAATTGAACGCTCGCTCTTCTGCTTATTGGGTAGATGCTCTACCACTGAGCTATTAGCTCTTTGCTGAAGAAAAAATAGGAAACGCCAGGAAGAAAGAGAGGAAAAGAGAGGCAAATAACCGGATCTAATTTAATTCTTACCATTATAGGCCTTTTCGAAAGCCATGGAAACTTTTTAGAAGGGGTCGAGGATGGTGTTGGCTTTGGATCCACCGGCGCCATCTTTAGGAGTTTTCCCTAAAACAATCAGCCAGTTCTTTTAAAACAAAACAACTTAACATTAAAATAGCTACAGTTTAAAAGGTAGAAAGTCCCTACCCGTTGAAGGAGCAAGAGTATCGCCTCTCTTTGCTGCCATCAAAGCCTCGTACCATTCGCTAAAAGGTTAGTAATATGGATGAAAGTAAATTTCACTTGATTTTTTAAAATCTCTACTTCTCAAGAATAGGTACAGTACTTTGTAGAATCGAATATCATCCAGAGAACTTGATCCTCAGCAGCGCCTCTTTCCTTGATCATAATCAATTTGCCTTTCTTTGCGTGAAACACAATCTTTGGTGGTATTTTAGCTAAACAAGTTTTTTCTAATAAAAAAACATTTTACATTTACTTTCCTGATGACCCAATTCCTCTGATCGATAGATTTCCGCATCTTGCAAGTTGATGGTTCTCCAAGAAGGATTTACGATCGGCACTTCCTAAAAAATAGATTTTAAAGAGTTTTTAAAAAACAACTTACAAAAAAAGCTTTGTATTTGGAGTTTTTTGAAACAATTTTGCTTGATGCGTGTGAACGGTTGGATTCGTGGAGAGAGAGTTTGCGTCGAACACTTGCACTTTTCCCTCTTTCAAAGGATTCATCTTTCTGCTTAAAAACTTTTAATAACTCTAATGGGAATACAACTTTACATAAATAGACTCAATTGGAAATCTTCGACAGTCAACTCTTGATTTAACGATTCTAAAAAGTGCCCCAAATTTCTTGCGTAGCTGTCCTAAACGGTTAACGATTGCGTTTGAGTGGGCAGCTACGCAGAAGCTGTTTGAAGCTACGCAGAAAGCAAGGGCATGTTTTAGAATTTCAAAATTGTGGTATCTGTAGCTTATCTGTAGCTACTCAACTTGAGTTTTGCTATTTAAAAGATGCTGGCTGTTGCTTGAAAGCTAGCAAGATCACGAACTTATAATCAAGGGTATAAAATACAAATAACAAGAAGCAAATAAAAACAACACTTAAAAACTCGACTACCGATTTAACAAGAACCATTTCGTGCGGATTCTTTATCACATTCATATTTGGGCGGGTATAAATAGCAAGCCAGCAAGCGCTTTTGTGGATGGCCTTGAGGAAGTCCGAAAAGTTTTCCTGTTTCGCTTTTCTTTCTCAAGAAATTGCTAACTATTAGGTTGGTGCAAAAAGAAATTTCGGTCGATATAAAATGTTCTTATTTTTTTAATCTGAAGAGCTTATTTGATGTTCTTTTGTGCATTTGTACTCTTGGATATTTACTTTATTTTCGCATTTTTTCAAAGTCAGAGCTTTCACTTTTAATTGATTTTTGCTTTAGATCATGGTGGATCAAAAGTATGTTCTGCGCACGTGTCTTCTCTATGACTTCAAAATGGGCAAAAACGCTGCTGATTCAAATCGTGATCTCTGTTCCGCCTTTGGAGAACAGGTTATCACCGAAAGATCATGCCAGCTCTGGTTTGCCCAATTCCGAGATGGTAATGAATCCTTTTGAAGACGAATCGCATGGACATCGTGCCACAGCCATCGACAACAATGAATTGGAACAATTAATTGAAGCTGATCCAATGCAAACAACACGAGAACTTGCCAAACATTCTCAATTCAACAATTGTACGCCATTTGGAAATAATTGGAAAGACAAATCGTAATGGACAATGGGTTCCACATCAATTGAGTGTTGAGAATCTGGGAGCACGCGTTCCGATCAGCCATATCTTGCTCCAGAAGTCGAAAAGAAGCCATTTTTTTGAGAATATCTTGACGATGGATGAGAAGTGGATTCACTTTGATAAAACTTCTCGAAAAAGACAATGGCTGAGCAAAGGTCAAGCGCCAATTCCAACTCCAAAGCCGGATTATCATGGGCGCAAAGTGATGTTGTCTTGCTGGTGGAATATCAATGGACTTGTTCATTTTGAATTATTAGAGCCCGGAAAAACAGTCGATTCATCTTATTTTATTCAACAACTCAAGAAGGTTGACGAAATTTTGCGTGAAAAAGGCCTAAATCCCTCAACTATCAACTTTCTCCCTGATAATGCTCCAGCTCACACGGCAAAAACCTCTTGTA